ATATATATATATATATATATATATATATATATATATATATATATATATATATATATATATATATATATATATATATATATATATATATATATGTATATATAAATAGTCTAATGATTCAGGTAGCTGTTACTTTAAAACAATATTCATTTTCATTAGTTAATCTACGTACCTGGTGGGGGGAACTGAGAGTAGGACAACACATTTTAAGATGCAGTTTAGGAATATTTGTACAGAAGTTCTGAAGATGCCACCAACCCCTCAGGGTGTGAGGAGGCTGGGACAAAAGCAGGGGGATAAGCCTCACCCCCTCAGGATCACACTTGTGAGTGAGGAGGAGAAATGGGAGGTTATTTGGCAGGCAAAAAAATTAGCAAGAACAAGGCATTTCGGAGTGTATTTATTCACCCAGATCGCACGGTAATGCAGAGGGAACAGCACAAGAAGCTCCTACAGGGCTTTAAGCAGAGAAGGGAAGAGTCGAGGAGGAATGGGGGCGGGTGTTCATGGGTAATATTCAGGGAGAGGGTAGTGGAAGCAAGTGTGCCGACACAGAGTCAGGGGGCAGCAGCGCACCCTCCACCCGCTCTATTCCCCACCCGTGAGTATACTGCAAGATTCTGGGGTCACTAAGTCTAATGGGATAACTTAACTCTATTCTTAATTTCTAAGAGTTGCTGCCACCAGAACCCCTCTGGGCAGTAGCTCGTTAGGTAGCGGGCAGAGTGGACTAGGCAATGGGTTGGGTTTTTCATTGGCCAAATCGATAAGGAGAAAGAAGGGTGAAACAATGACATGTCTTAACTAATTTATTCCTTATAAAACATATTGCATTCCGTTAAAATACAAGTGAGTTGGCCTTCCTCAGAGGAACAACGATGATTTTGGTTACACTGCCCAACAACAGACGTCTTGCATTAATTGCGTATCACCCACATACGTACTGCTCATAACAATCAGTGACCTCCTTATCTCGGTCATCCCTTCTTACAATAACACTCAACACATCAGACTGCTCCACCTGTTAGAGTGCAACATCACCTGTTACATTACAAAAGAGTTGGCTTTCATCAGAAGAACAAATAGTATTTTCATTACACTTCTCTTGATGAGCAGATGGGATACTTCCCAGGTAATCATACCAGTACTGTTTCCATGCCTGGTATTAGGAAGTCGTTCCACGTAGCGACAGCAAAACTTCTCAAGTATACAGTGATTTTCTCCTATCCTGGGTGGTGATATGTAGGGTATCTACAGGTCCACAGTGGAGGTGCATGACCACTGTGGTATGGCCTTCACAGTGTGGTCATGGGTGACACCCGGAAGGCGCTCAGAACGCGTCATCCTGTGTTGGGAGAAGCCGAGGCATCACTAGTGCTCCTCTCTGTCTAGGCCTATAGTTTCCAATATTTAATTTTCACTTTGAATTCTTATGGTTCTCACATCTCTATTTTCCTATCTATTGTGACCTTATGCTTTATAGATACATGTCTTAATCCTAAATTACACACTAAGGTAAGGGTCTGGTTTACTAGTTCCTGGGTAAATTCATTGGGTTATACTGTAATATCAACCCGGCACACCCGAGGCGGCCTAGGCCCCAACCTGAACAAACCCTTGCGTCGTATTTTCATGGCGTGGGTATACAAGATATTCTTTTTGAAGCATAGTTTCTGGATCACTTCTAACACTTCACATAGTTCTGATACCTTTATCCTTTTTCCAGATCATTGTTCTCATGTATTTTCATATGATATCTGCGGAAGTTAGGTTCGCTAAACGTTCACAGACGCAAATACTATGACTTTCGAACCACGATTTACACTTAATCCTAAAGTACACTAGTCAGGATCAACTGGACTTTCCCAATCATCTTATAGATACCTTGAGTTCTCCTACAATTAACATTATATAACCGTACCTGGGTACAATTCAACAAATGATTCAGTAACATTGAGTAGGCGAGTTATCCTTTATCAATGTTTCCCGTTTTCTGAGATTCTACAAGCGCGGTGGATTTGAATGTTATATAGCGTAATATGAATTAAAGGCTTTTGGGGGGGAATGACAATGATGTGCGCAGAACAGGAGGTGGCACCAGCTTCGCTTACCAGCCGGGAGGAGGCGAGCGCCGTGTAAACAATGACATTTTTAACCACACCCTGCAAAATACTGTGTACTTAGCAAATGCTGCAGCTTCTGAGAATGGGGGGGTTACTACTAAGAGCAGAGAAGTTACTGAGAACAAATTCTGGCTTGAATGTCATTTACACTAATACTGACACCTTCCTTGATAAGAGAGAGGAGTTTGAAACACTACTGAAGGTACACCATCCCGATATTGTAGGAGTTGTAGAACTGTTGTACAAGAACAGGAGGATCGACCCAGAGGAATGTGAGTTCAGTATTGCTGAATATGACTCATTTACGAACCATTCTCAAGAAACTTGCAAGAGGGGTGTGGTTATCTATGTCAGGCAAGACCTTAGAGCCAACCAAACGAGGGTACAGGGAGAGAATGTTTTTGAAAAGTCCAAGTGGTGCAAAATTAAATTAAAGGGAGGGGACTTACTTATTGTCGGGTGTATCTACAGATCCCCAAACTGTGGCCCACTAAATCAAAGGAACTTAAGAGCCTTGGTAAACAAGGCAGAGATGCTCAACCCTAGCCACCTCCTTATCATGGGAAAATATAACTATGGCGACATCGACTGGAGAAACGAGTTCACCCTAAATGACTTGAATAACCCTGCTACTCTTTTTGTAGAAACTCTGGGAGATAATTTTCTGTTCCAACATATTAGAGACCCGACACATTACAGAGGGGAGCAAACATCCAAGCCACTAGACCTCATCATAACAAACGAGGAGGGTATGGTGGCCAAGCTGGAACACCTTGCCCAAGTTGGCACCAGTCACCATATAGTGTTGTCATTCAGCTTTGACTGTTACCTATTTCAAGATAAGGCCAGGCCAAGGTGCAAATATTACAAGGAAAATTACAACGGGATGAGGGAAGAGATAAGGGGTATCCACTGGCCTGACTCATTTAGGCACAAGAACGCAGACACTACGCTGAATAACTAGTAAAGTGACCCATTTGATCGATAACTATAAATTCAAGAACAAACTCAGTGCCTCTAGGAATACGAGGGGATCCCTACACATGAACCATGCGGCGGTCGACAAAGTTAAGAAGAAAACCATTCAAGACGTGGGTTGGGTCAAACGATGAGCAGGACAGGAGGATGTATGCAAGAGCCAGAAACCAAGCAAAGGCAGAGTGTAGAAGGGTTGAAAAGGGGTTCCAGAGGCTGGTTGCAAGCGAGGTCAAGTCAAACCCAAAGACGTTTTACCGCTATGCAAAGTCGAAATTAAAACGTGAGTAGGAGTATCAGACCTGAGGCTTGAAGATGGTAGTTACGCAGATTCTGACCAGGATAAAGCTGAGGCATCGAACAGGTTCTTTTCCTCGGTGTTCGCAAGAGAGGATGCAATTAACCTACCTGCGTGTGAAGACAGACGGTTCGACACAACACTGACCCACATTGTGTTCACAGAAAAGGGTATTAGAAATAAATTGTCAAAGCTAAAGGTCCATCGAAGCCCCGGCCCTGACATTGCGCATCCCAGAATGCTAAGAGCTTGGCGAGCCCCTGAAGATCCTGTATTGTAAATGCCTGGTTGAACAAAAGGTCCCCAGTGATTGGAAAGTAGCTTATGTGAGTCTTATCTTCAGGAAGGGGGAACATCACTCCACTAACAACTATAGACCGGTGAGCCTGACCACCGTAATATGTAAAGTACTTGAGAGTATTATCAGAGATGCCGCGATGGAACATCTACTACGAAACAACCTTGTAAAGGATTGCCAACACGGTTTTCTGCCGGGGCTCTCCTGCTTAGCATAATTGCTCATGGTATTGGATATTTGGACCAATATTCTGGAACTGGGTGGTAATATCGACAATATATACCTAGATTTTGCCAAGGCTTTCGACAGTGTACCCCAGGAAAGGCTGAAAATCAAACTGGAAGGCTACGGAGTATGAGGAAATGCCCTAGCGTGGATAGAAGACTTTCTACATGGCTGCAAGCAGTGTGTGGTGAATAATGGCACGATATCATCATCTGTACTTGTCACAAGCAGGGTACCACAGGGCAGTGTATTGGGCCCGCTGTTGTTTGTTTGTTTCATAAATGATAATGCCTGACGTTGTACACTCCTCCATACAAATGTTTGCCGATATCGCCAAGTTATTTCGGGAAATTAAGAACCAAGCGGACTGTGAAGAGCTGCAGAAGGATCTCTGTGAGTTCCAAGAATGGTCGAAGAAATGGCTGCTGACATCCAATGTCAGGAAGTGTAAGAGGATGCACCTGGGGCGTACCAATGGTAAGGAGGCGTATCATATGTCCCAACGGGATGAAGAAACTGCACTATTTGAGACTGAATGTGAGAAGGACCTAGGTGTGTATGTTGACAATGAACTGAAGTTCTCGGGTCATTGCGAGAAGAAGGTAAATCAGCCAAATAAATTATTGGGTCTTATAAGAAGATCGTTCGGTTATCTAGATGGTCCGTCCCCCGTAACGATCTTCAAGAGTGAAGTGCTTCACCATCTGGAGTACTGTTATACTGCCAGATTCTGGGGTCACTAATTCTAAGGGGATAACTTAACTCTATTCTTAATTTTAAGGTCGCTGCCACCAGACCCCCTCTGGAGAGTACGTAGCTCGTTAGCTAGGCATTGGGTTGGGTTTTTCATTGACCAAATCGATAATGGGAAGAAGGGTGAGACAGTAACATGTCTTAACTAATTTATTCCTTATAAAACATATTGCCTCCCGTCTGATTACAAGAAGAGTTGGCCTTCCTCAGAAGAACAACTATGATTTTAGTTACACTGCCCACAACAACACACGTCTTACATCAGTTGTGTGTCATTAACACCCATACTTCATAACAATCACTGACCTCCTTACCTCAGTCATCCCTTCTTACAATGACACCCAACACATTAGACTGCTTCACCTGTTTGGAATATAGCACCCTAGGTTATTGTGCATTATAGTACCATCTCACCACATTACAGCACCATCTCACCACCTTGTAGCACCATCTCACCACACTCCGGTTACACTCCACACCTACAAATATGGAACTCCTTGTTATTTCTAAGTACACATATCAGGCACCTCGTTCGCACACCGCCCTTGGTGGGTAGAGAAGGGTACTCCGTCAGTAAACATACCAGTACTTTTTCTACACCTGGTATTCTTGGTCGCTCCAAGTGACGACCGCGGAGCTTCTAAAGCATTCCATTATGTGTTCCTGCTCCTGGGTGGTGATATGCCGGGAATCCACAGGTGCACAGTGGAGTAGCATAACGGCGTACAGTCACCTCACATGGTGTGGCTCTCACGGGAGTAATGGCGCCTTTCTGGCGACGCTCAGAACGCGTGGGACCTGTGTTGGTGAAAAAGCGGGCACCAATGAGAAATAATGCCTGATGGAACGTTATCACCCACTCTAACACATTACTACTTCACTTTATAACATCAGGCAAAGTTTTAATCTATAAAACTGCTATATAAGTCTTTTTCAGGGCTGAATATAGCACGATGATGTTCACTGACCTGTGTTGGTGAAAAAGCGAGCACCACTGAGGGCGCTGCCCCGGCCCGCCCTCACTAACTAGGCCTACAGTTTCCAACCTTTACTTTTCACTTTGATTTCTTATGTTTCTCACCTGAACACTTTCCTATTTATTGTGACCTTATGTCCCATACGCTTAATTAATGTGCCTAGCGACATATGGAAGCTGCTAATGTATCACTTACCACATGTCGCCCGAAAGGCTACTTGACCCCCCAGACAGAGTAAGGAGCGGCACCTCGCATGTGTATCTCTGTTTATCCAGTAAATAGAACCTACGAAAACTCTACAGGTGTTTGTGTTCGCTCCTGTAGATAGAACTTGATAACCAGAACACATGCATGGTGGGGTGAGTCATTTTACTGGATAATTATACAAGTGAAGTGTAATGTTTGTGGCAAGACTGGCTTATGGACCCCTGCTCTGTGTCAACCACCGCTAATGGCCGTCTCCTCCAAGAATTTATAGCAACTTTGAGCAGTGTCAGTGACAGTGATTTTCTGTGAAGTGTATAGTGCATTATGTGTTTAGTGCCATAACTGTGTGACCTTGTTCTAAAGGATTCCCAAGGTGTAAGGTATGTTCAGGGCATGTATGAGGAGTAGAGTTCATTTCACCCTTCTCTGACCGTGTCCAGAGGGTGACTGACTGTGATCGCCTCCACCCCCTCACAGCGAGACTGCCCGAGACGCGCGCACACACACACACACGTACGAACACACTGACTGCGGCCATTCCTTTATATATATAACACTGGGCTGCATTTGAAAAAAAAATTCATGAGGTGCTGGGTTTCTTAGCTGATTCTTTATGTATTTTGCGTGCTGATTCCAAAAATGCCATTCATTTTGCCCAATCAGGTCAGATTTTTATGCTATGGGAATTAGGAAAAAATCGAAATTCTTAAATATGATGTCAAAATTTTTATGCAAAATATATCATAAGAAATGTAACCACAACACATAGGACCAAAATATGTCAACTACATAGATGCCTTTACAGTTAGACATGCATAAATGGCTGTCGCAGAGAATTTCTTTGGTGGTTGGTGTCTGGGGCGTCCCGTTTCAGACACCAACAGTAGTCGGCGAGCATGTTGATATCCCAGCGACCCTGGTACCGCTCCTCCATTACACGGATATCTTGATGGAAGCGTTCTCCTTGTTCCTCACTCACATCACCACAGTTCTCTGGAAAGTAGTCCAAGTGGGAGCTGAGGAAGTGCATCTTGATGGACATGCGTGCACCAAGAACTTTGTAGCTCAGAAGTAGGTCCTCAACAACTCGTTCATACTCTGGACTTCTGTAGTTGCCAAGAAAATTGGAGACAATAGACTTAAAGGCATGCCAGGCTTTCTTCTCATTTATATCCATGCTGCAATCAAACTTGGGATCTTTGAAAAGCTCGTTTGGAAATTTTTCTTTCAGAAAATTGAAAGCCTGGCTTTTTTTGTCCAGTGCCTTTACAAAGTTTTTGAACAGACCGAGCTTGATGTGCAGTGGCGGAAGAAGAATGTTTTGCGGATTCACCAGAGCATGGGCAACAACATTGTGAGAACCTGGAGTAAGTCCACTTCTTGCAGGCCAGTCACATTGCATGTAGTGCTGTTTGTCTGCTCGACTATCCCACAGACAGAGGAAACATGCCATGTACCACCAGATGAAAAAGAAATTTAATTGTGAAAAAATATATGCAAAAAAAACACGGACATATACTCTTTTCCTTTGTGTCACGGCGGACATTTAAATGGCCGGCGAGCACGTGGGTGTATTTAAATGCATCGTAAGGGCATTAAAAACTGACCGAAATTTTTTCTGTGAGGCTTGCCAATGTCTCGGATGATTTTTTTAATGAACGAATATGAGGACCCCATTTTGAGCAAAAAATGCCAATATTTTACCTGAATCTCCGCTTAAAATGCTATAGCACAAAATTCTGACCTGATTGAGCAAAATGGATAACATTTTTGAGATCAGCATGCAAAATACACCCAGAAAAGCTTAATAATACACAAACCTCAAAAACTATGCAGGGCAGTGTATAATCTACTTATCTGTGCATTTCATTAATTTTTTGTCTCAGATCTTGTTGATACGACGGGCTGACCGGTCAACACTGATTTAAGACACAGTACACAGATTAAGTTATTATGTCTCATGCCTTACGCAGTCGTGGAGCCAACGCCTGGATGAGTCAGTCGGATGACAGCTCGGCAGAGATGGATGACCAGGCTGAACAGGAAGCTCCAGCTCCAACCACATCGCGCAGCCCTTCACCTCGATCTCCAGCATTGTCTTCAGAGATAATTGCTTTAATGAAGTTTATGAGGGATGAAAGGCGTCACGACTTTGCTAATTGACGTGTGGAGGACGAAGAAAGAAGGCAAGCAGAGGCCGAGAGAGACCACCAACGGAGATTGGAAGACAGTGCATGGTTTGAAGCTTTGATATCTCGCCTCACTGTTAACCAAGCCCCTGGCTCTAACACTGCCTCGGTATCGACTGGTTCAGATACCTCATCAATGCTTTCTTCACGCCCCCCAGCCCCAGCCCCACCTAAAGCGGCTGCTCAAACACCGCCCATTTTGAAGCTTGATGTGAATTTCCAGATTTTTCGTGAATGGCGGCGACGGTGGACTGATTATGCTACAATGGTGGATCTCCAGAGTTTGTCACAGCCTAAACAACTTATTCGGCTGCGTATGTGCTTGTCCTTGGAAACTCAGCGTGTCTTGGAACATACGTTGCAGGTACCTCCGACCTCTTCGTTGTCTGTAGAGGAGGTACTGGACATTCTACAACGGCACATCAAAGGGCAGCGGAATGAAGCTCTACGCAGGAGTGAATTGTTTAGCTGCAGACAGCTGGAGGGCGAGACTTTTGATGTCTTTTATGTACGACTCAAGAGAGCCTTGGAAGAGGTAGATATATGCCCAGGTAACCACCAGCAGTGCGAGGAGACCCAGTTGAAGCAGGTGATCCTGATGGGTGTTAAGGACGAGGAGCTTGTCCAACGCCTCACCTCCCTCGACTCTTCCTCTTCTCTTAAGGATGTGTTGACAATATGTCGCTCCTATGAGGCTGCCAGGTGTGCCACCTCTGCCATCCGAGTTCCCCCTACAGCTGTACGCGCTGTGTCCCTGTACAAGAAGGACAAGAAGTCTACTTCAACGCCTTCGCCCAGCACGCCCACGCCCGGTTCCTTTTGTAACAACTGTGGTAAGCAACACGGAACACAGGTGTGTCCAGCTGCTGAGTCTACCTGCAATAGTTGTAACCGTAAGGGCCACTGGTCGCTGACAGTGCGGTGCCCAGCTAAGCACGTCCAGTGCAATGTGTGCGGTCGTCTGGGCCACTACGACAAGTGTTGCCCTACCAACAAACCCAAGGGACAGCGTCGGCGGAAGCAGCAGCGCCCTTCCACCAGTGAGGGCCGCCCACAGTCTTCCAATCAGAAGCATGACGACCCTGGACAACGCTCGAGCCATATTAGGAATGTGTGCTCCCCTTCGCGTCCCAGGACCAAAGTCCCCCAGCACATCAGCGTCATCGTGACCTACGGCAGTGTGTCATCCCGTCTTCAGATGTTGCCAGACACCGGCGCTGTTGCTACAGTCATCGGTCCCCAGCATTTGCAATGCTTGGGGCTCTGTCCAAGTGATCGAGGACCGCCACCCAAAGATCTCCGCTTCACGGCAGATGGTTCACAGATGGCCCCAGCCCTAGGTTCACTCCAAGCACAGGTCACCTTTGGCAACAGGTCGTGTCAAGCCTGGATTGATGTGCATAACGGTGTCCCGACTCCTTTGCTGTCCTACAGACATTGTAAAGAGTTGGCCATCATCTCCCAGGGCTTCCCCAAACCTATGCTCGAGGTAAAACACGCCAACAGGGTGCACAAAGGGAGCAGCAACTACCCTGCTGCCGCCCTACCCCTGCCTCTTGCCAGTGACACCTCTCCTTCGGATGCTCGGAAGTACTTCCTGAAGGAATTCAGCGACGTTCTGGTGACCAAGTCCGCTCTGGAATCCAAGCCTCTCAAGAAGATAGTAGGCCCCTCCATGAGGATCCACCTGAGGGACGACGCGAAGCACTTCGCTATCTACACCCCTCGACTGGTTCCCCTGGCCTTCTGCGAGGTGGTCAAAAACGGGCTGGACTCCATGGTCGCCCAAGAAATTATTGCACCAGCCAGTGATGACTCATCTCCATGGTGCCACCGTATGGTAGTCGTCACAAAACCCAAAGGTGGTGTTCGGATCACCACTGACCTCTCCAAGCTCAACAGTCAGGTGTCTCGTCCTGCGCACCCTTCTCCCACGCCCTTTGCAGCTATACGCAGTGTGAACCCGAAGGAGGGCTTCTTCACGACGATGGATGCGTTGTGTGGATACTGGCAGATAGAGCTTGCCGAAGAAGACCGACCACTTACAACTTTCATTACCCAGCATAGACGTTACAGTTATTGCCGTGGCCCCATGGGATTCACCGCTACAGGAGACGCTTTCTGTCTTCGAGGTGATATGGCACTACAAGGTCTGGCAAACTGTGTGAAAGTGGTCGACGACATACTCGTGTACGATGAGGATTACATGGATCACCTCTGCCGTATCTACGAGGTACTCAACAGGTGCCGGAAGCACGGCATCACCCTAAATGCAGAAAAGTTTGTTCTGGCCAGCTCTTCAGTGAACTTTTGTGGGTACACCCTCTCAGGGAATGATATTGCAGCTGACCCGGAGAAGGTCCGCGCCATCACGGATTTTCCCACCCCTGCTAACCTCACCGACTTGAGGTCCTACGTCGGTCTCGTTGACCAGTTAG